CGGCGGAGCGGCAAATCGCTATTCTCTTGCCCGTTTCCCTTCAAGTTGCCATGTTATACCGCCTCAAGCACTGTCCACGTGATGTACTTTTCACCACACTGACTCACCCGCTTGTGCATGTCTTGAGCCCAGGGAGGGGGGAGCTCCTACTACGGTCTGGGTTACGGTAGCAGCGGCTAATTAAACTGCAGAATCCCTGAGTGACTTCTCACCATGGTTCGTCTGAGGGACAGAAAGAACAGACCACTTTCTTTTTTTTTTCTATTTTTCGCATGTCTTCTTCATGAGACAAAAGTCCTGGTCCATTACATCAACCACATCTTTGCGTAGAAAGCTCTGGAATGCCCCTCCTTTGACCGATTTGCCTCTGGTTCTGGTTCGAAATACGCAAGTAACTAGTTTTTGATCCGACAATACTCAGGACTTAACCCTCATGGTTGTTCCGTGGTGACGTCATGGGCCACTGTGATGAAGTGCGCAGACTTGCTTTTGACCTTTCGCCTCTTAAACCTTTCAATATGGCGTAGGGCCATTAAAGGAGGCACTGAGTTGTGTTTCGATCCGGTCGCTGCGACAATGGTGCGCGTCTGTTCTGCCCTATCGCTTGGGAATTCACTCGCCAGACAAATGCTTCGCTCACGACTCCGCTTGCTATCATTCTTTGTGACCTTGAACCGCTGGAACACGGTAGCGTCGCATTCATACCCAGCATCTTGGGAAGATCGGAGAACGGAGATTCGGACAGTTGCGCAAAGAGTAAGATATGTATTGAGTGGTCTGCCTTCGTCCGAATGGAGAATCTGCCAAAACGCCATATACAATACTAAGAGGTAAATGCTGATCAGGACTACCGGGGAATTCGATTTCTATCTAACTTGTGCTCCTATCTTGTCCCTCCTATTTCCATGTAGAATTCTAATCGATGGGTTACGTTATCAGTTCTTCTGTTGGATACATATCAGGTCATTCTCACAGATTCTCTGATTCTGCAGTTGAGAGAAGACAAGAAACTCGATTACTATCCAGTCCCTTCGCGGATTCTCTGTTCTTCTATTTGGCGAACGCGGCGCGGCATAAAGACTGATCGCTGAAGAGCCTTCTACTTCCTTGTCTGATCTATGGGAAGAAGCGAAACAGATTGATGAGCTTGTCGCTGTAACCAACACCCCTAAAGACTGCTCAGGAGAACCGGGCACTTATCGAAGGGATCGGATATGTATAGAGTGTTTGAGTTCGCCCCAAGTTTAGCTCATTGGTTCCTACCATTATATCGGCCCGGGAGGCTCCACTGTATTGGTTAGGTGGCACTATTGAACTATTCCTACCCCAAAAAACTCAAAAAAAATTTGAGAAAAAATTCGCTAAAACGTTGCCTATGTAATTCGATGCGCTGATCACGAATATAACATCCGTTTCGAGCGCTGGCGTCATTTGGCGCCCACCACTTTTTTCACCAAAGTCGATGAAAACTTGCATATGGGGGTTAATTGAGGTCCTGATTACGAATCCAACATTTATTTTTGGCGCTGGCGCCATTTGGCGCCATTACGCGTTAATTTGGCGCCATTTTGACAATGGTGCCGGTTAGGTTTTGGGCTTCTAGACAGTGAAGGGTTTACCTTCCATTCTAATCATAGCTGTTGACTATTAGGTTGGCAGGTGTTATTGTAGCCTCCCCAACAGGTGACTAGAAGATTATAAACGGAAAATGTTCTGAAAGGTTTCATTCAAGTTTTCAATGGAAATAAAATTGAAACATGATTTTCATTGGTTTCCACTGGATATGACGAAGTAATCAAAGTTATTTTTCAGTTTTTTTTTGAGTTTTCAGATCTTAATCGATTCCTTTGGAATAATGTTTTTATATGGAATTGTATGCTGCAATTTATTAAGAGTTGAATTTTAGGGGGATGGGCAAAATGGCTGACGGTGAGCACAATCATAATCGGCAGCATCTCGTATATGGGATATTTGGTGACACCAGATTGGCGTGAGATTGTCGACAGCAAACATTATTACTCGAATTGGAAGGTACGCTTGTTTCCTTTCAAATTTTTACTGGTTTTTCTTAATGAGCTGTTCGTTGTAATTTAATATTTTTTCCTAAAACTAATATCACATTTGGTTTGGCAACGTTTAAATGGTTTTTGACCTTTCATTTGGGTTTTTTTTGTAATTCCCTTCACTTGTTTTCAGTCTGCTCTGAGGGCTGAGTACCAGCTAGGGAGAGGAATGTTAATCTGCGCCAGAAATAGCTTACAGTTTTTGAGGGGGGGAGAGAACTCTGCAGTACGCAAACCAGGTATTATTCGTGAAAAGTTCGAATCTTTATTGGAGTTCCCCTTCTACCCCTTTAAAGTCGCAGACTACTTAGACGCTCACGCACTAATGCAGGCTGTGTCCACCAAATAGGTAGCGCCCAGGTACATTTATTTAGTCGTCCAGAATACCAATAACAACCAGTATTCTGTTAACGACTTTCTCGATAGTAGGTAGGGTTTTCTCGTTCAAAAAACGCAGATCTATAAGTTTGCCTTACGAAAATCCCCTCGAATGACTCCACTCTGTTCTCCCTCGTGCTGTCGCGTGCTCCAGATGGTCACGCGGTGCACGTGGTCCGCAGTGGGCTAAATTTATCGCGCGGGTGTTATCTGAAGCTTTCATCGCTCTGTTGGTATCGCCATCTTGCGCGAGCACAGAGCCGGATCTTTGGTGAGCGAGTTTTTGCCATGGTCGTCGTCTAGACTTCTGAAAACTTTCAGTTGTCTTGTGCTGGGAAGCGCTAGCCAGCGACTTATAAACTTGTAGAGCTTGGACTGAAAAGGGCTAGGCGAGTTCAAAATGAAATTGTAATGCTGATGTGAAGCGGAACGGCTCCTGTGTTTTGTTCGTGGGCTAAATGTTATTCGTGTCACACGCCCTCAGGCCCATGTGGACCCTCTGTTACCCTTTTCAATCTAGTTTCGTAGCGGCTTAGGTCGTGCTCATACTAGACTTCCCATCGAGTAATCTTCCGCGCGATTTGGGGAGTTCAGTGGTATCCGAAACAGAATTTTACTGCTGCAACGATCCAAAGATTGGCGGTAAAACAGGAACCTATTTGGGGAATGCGTGGCTGAATCTCCCGAAATCATCAGGAAAGTGCTTATATGAACGTACTGTCCAATGGAATTTGCCCTTGAACAGCGCTAGTGCAGTTGCCGACTGACTCTGATCAGAACTGATCTCTGTGATTCTCATTCCGGTGGCGTTAGTGACGTCGCCGCTGGAAATCGGCGGTGGTCTGATCGGTTGGCGCACAGTTTCTTTTTTGGTCCGTTTGCGCACCAAAGATGTCCCGATTGAGAGATGAGAGAGATGTGTCCGATACGGTGA